ACTTAAAAAACGTACTGAGTTCACGCATTCAAAAGCTGTGCGACATTAAAATATACTATCACTTGTTATTAGCGCCTGCTACGCGGCAGGTTAGGTGATAATAGGATAACCCTCTGTAAGGAGTGATTGCAGAGAGATGGCAAGTGGTGACAAGTAGGCAAACATTGTGGACAATGTGCGTGTTAGTAATGCAGTGAATGTCTCAGATTGATCCCCAAAATGTCAGTAATTTTGTGCTTGCAATGTGACGATGTATTTTTCAAAGTCTTGTGATAAAAGGATGTCTTTTAGCAGTTCTCCTGTCATAGTGTCTTGTGTATTGCACATTTCAACTAGTTTCCAACCATACCAAGCTTATTTTAAATTATACCTTCTCTTGCGACTGTATTTTGTTCGAGACTTTTCCTCTTCCTCGTGAAGAATATGACGAACGGTTTTTTTTATTCGTGCTGAGATGAAGACCACCTGCCCTTCGACAAAAATGACCCTTCTTGTAAAAGGCGTTTTGAATAACCGCTAGCTGAGAACCGAAAGTAATAAGAGACGGCCTTGGTTTGACCTTTTTTAGCCTGAGAACTGATTTCGCGACGCCACCACTGGTTTTTCACGAGGAAACCTCTGGTGGCGTCGCGAAACTGAGAAGTCGGCTGTTTTCTCAGGCTAAGCCTTTTTAAGCACAGAGGTGTGACTTGGTCGCCTTTCAATAGCCAGTTTTATATGCCAAATGAAGATACATTTTGTCAGTTTTAAGCGTGGATTTTTAAGCGTCAGTCCATATATGGCTCCTACGAAACGTCCTAAGTGGCGAGGAGCGAGGAGAGACGGCTGTATTCGCTGGCTAGCAAGTTATTGGCTTTACACGAACCTTCCAGTTTTCCTGTCGTTTTTCTTGTGAACGTCAAGCTTTCGTGCAATAAAAGAAGTAAAGGACCCTCAAGAACGTGAGCAGTGTTGTGTCCACCTTGCCGGTAAAGACGTAGTAAGTTTTAGTACGCGTTGTTTCAGTTCATTCAGTGAATTGTGTTATTGTTAAAATCTTTCAAATAATGTTCTGACTACCGTCGATCACTTAGGTCTTGTCTTAGATCGGTCACGCATAGCCTGCGAGGAAAAGTTTCACTTTCGTGTCCCCGTGGGGGGGGGGGGTACTTCTTAATAAGAGGCTAATGGGGATGTGCCGCTGGATGGGGTCGCATATTCACGACTGTAATGGGGTCGCATTTTCAGTAGAGTTACGAGAATGGGGTCGCAC